GTCTGGGGCTTTCAGACACTCCAGACTAGAAAACAGAGCAGCTTTGGCAGACCACCTAGCAGGCTTTCGACCTCTTGCCACATGCCAAGCCAGTGCTACTTGGTAAGGGACTTGCACATGCTGCCTTCAGGTCCTGTGACATCAGCTCCTCCATCGAGTCTTAACCGTGTGCCAGGCGCTGGGTCAGATGATGCACATGCGTTGTCGCCAGCCCTTTGCCACATCCCTGGTCACCCACGCTTTACCTATTAAAGGAAACGGGCACAGAGAAGCCACATGGCTGAGCCAGGTTGTGTGCCTGCCAGAGGCCACCATTCAGAACCCGGTTTCGGTTTCGCCTGTAGCTAGTCTGTGCTCTAGATAGCACCTTATGGTTGAGAACCAAGGAGAGAACTCGGCTTTTTCTTTTGTAGATTTCTTCTTTCCCTGGTTTAGCTATAGGTGTGTTAAGGGCACTAACTTGTGTTTGTAAGTCCTATTTTTAAACTTTGAACCCTCACATTTGTTTATTAATTGGCTACCATGTTAAAAATGAAAACAGTAATACATGTACTTGCTAAAAAAATTTTAAGTGATAGGTAATCCTCTCAGTTGTCAGCTCTGATCCATCCTTGAAGGAGGTAAAATTCATACATGTAAGGATCCGTCCCAGGAACTGAGGGTCAGTCATTCTCACTTCAAGTCCTTAAGGCTGAGAGCTTAACTCAATAGGGACTTCGCAGCTGGAGGGAACCAGCCCCAGGGAAGCGCCTGGCGAACATTCAGACTCCAGCCCCGTGGCTCCAGTCCAGAGTTTTTCTTGAGCTCTTGCTGGTTATCCGTCACTTGCTTGGGTATCCCGCAAACAAATCCAACACAGTCCCCCTGTAATTCTCTCGCCCTTCAATCTGATCCTCCTCCATTCCCTATTTCAGACAGCAGCTCGGGCAGCACCCAAGCCATACACGGGAGATCCTAGGCTCGCTGCCTTTTTCATCTGACCAAGTGCTGCCATTTTTATTCCCAGAATATCTTTCCAGTCCATCCCTTGTCATCCCAACCCCAAAATCCACGTTTTTCTCATGGGCTTTTCCATGCCCTCAGCCCACTCTTTGCATAGCTACCAGCGTCTGAGGCCAAGTATATCTGACTGTCTCCCCTGCAGAAGATCCTGTTGGCACCTGCTGCTGACATGTTCTTTAATCAAACTGAAGCCCTCCTTTGTGACCTGATCCCAGCCACAGTAGGGAGTCACAGGCGACTCTGCCCATGAGTTCATGCTGTAGCAGTGCCCAGACTGAGCGAACTGACGACCCACCTCCTGTCTTGGTGTACGCTGCTCTCCTGCCTGCCTGGCTAGCTCCTACAGAACCTTAGGAACTCTGCTCAGGCCTCACTGCCTGCTGGTGACTCTCCCACACATCAGCGCCTCTGCTCAGTTTTCACATACTTTTATTTTTTTTAATTAAAAAAATTTTTTAAGATTTTATTAGAGCACGCACCAAGAGCGTGTGCGCACAAGCAAGGGGGAGCAGGAGAGGGAGAAGCAGGCTTCCTGCTGAGCAGGGAGCCTGATGTGGGGCTCGATCCCAGGACCTCGGGATCATGACCTGAGCCGAAGGCAGACGCTTAACGACTGAGCCACCCAGGTGCCCCTGTATAATTTTTTTTGAAGATTTATTTATTTTAGAGAGTTCAGTGGGGAAGGGCAGAGGGAGAAGAGAGAGAATGTCAAGCATACTCCCTGCTGAGCATAGAACCCCACCTGGGGCTTGACCCCAGGACCCTGAGATCATGACCTGAGCCAAAATCAAAGGTCAGCTGCTTAACCAATTGAGCCACCCAAGCGCCCCGTTATTTAAGAGTACTGATTAACAAAAATAAGCCAGTGTATTTCTACCATATCATGGCATTCATTACTAACATTTGGTGTGTGTTTTATAGAAATGGGATCATGCTATTTATAATGTTTTTATTTAAAACACTCATCTTTCCACGTCACTGTAAAATCTCATATGGTTGGCTACCCACCTATATGCCATCAGTATACTCTTTGTCACATGTACCATGAAGCTTATCCCTTTTTAGTCGGACAGCTTTCAAACCAAACGGAACAGTTCAGTGAAGAGACGTATGCACGCACGTGCCTGTCACTTGGCTGCCAGCTGTTAACATTGTGCTGTTTTCACTGTTCTTTTTTCTTTTGCTGAACCATCTGAAAGTTAAGTTAGCTGGAGACATCTTGATGCTTTACTCCAAAATGTCAGGGTGTCTCTATCCTGAGAATAAGGTCTGCTCCATAATGCTGTTATTAGACCTGAGAAATCCAACTTATGTCACCTACATATAGTCCAGTTCTCAAAACATTCTTTTCCCCCAGTCCTTTCACATACCATGAAGTTGACATATCTCTCGTCCCTTTTAATTTAGAATAGTTGCCCTGTCCTTTTTTCCCCATGGCACAGATGTTTTTAAAGTCCCACCTTCTGGATTCATTTCCTCATGATCAGATTCAGGTTAAATGATTCCAGCCAAACCTGGAGGTGACGTCCGTCTCGGCCCATCAGATCGGGAGCAGCGGTGCTTGTTGCATTCCTGCTGAAGCTGAGTAGGATGCATCACCCGGATTTTAAGTCTCCCTTACACACGGTGAGCTCTCAGCGGAGACGTATGCTCAGGCCCTGCCTGGTGGTGTGCCCAGTCCATGGTGGGCATGGAATGGTTTCACGGAGTGAATGAGTGCGCTTGCTGTTGAGGGGACACAGAAGAGCCAAGAGTGATGTGGCAAAACTGGAGACAGGACAGGAAGCCGGTCATGACTGGCCTCGTAGCCACCGTGGCACCAAGGAAACAGCCTACCACAGATCCTCAAAGGCATTTGTAGGAGGCCATTAAACCAAATGCACAGGAGCTACTGGGTGGCTCAGTCAGTTTAGCGTCTGCCTTCGGCTCAGGTCATGATCCCAGGGTCCTGGGATCGAGCCCTGTGTTGGGTCCTGCGCTCAGTGCAGAGTCTGCTTCTCCCTCTCCCCCCATTTGTGCTCGCTCTCAAATAAAATCATACCAAAAAATAAAAAATGCACACAATCTCATTTATTCTGTTGTAATTCACACACCCTTTGGAATGCTACATTGGGCCAGTTCACGGCCTACCTGTGGTGGCACACGAGTCTGTCAAAGATTTTTCCAGCAAGTTCTTAGAGTAGAAAGATCTTTGCAGGGGCGCCTGGGTGGCTCAGTTGGTTAAGCGACTGCCTTCGGCTCAGGTCATGATCCTGGAGTCCGGGGATCGAGTCCCGCATCAGGCTCCCTGCTCAGCGGGGAGTCTGCTTCTCCCTCTGACCCTCCTCCCTCTCGTGCTCTCTGTCTCTCATTCTCTCTCGCAAATAAATAAATAAAATCTTTAAAAAAAAAAAAAAAAGATCTTTGCAGTTGCTTAACATCCAGGTCCTAAAGTAGCATCACCAGCCAATTATCTGTGCATACTCAGTGACTTTTTCCCTTACTCTGGCTCCTTTGAGACTTCCCACAGCTGCGGGATGTGAACGGGTCCCTCTGCAGGTGTGTGGTTAAGACGGCAGCCAAGTGGTCAGTTCAGCGCAAGCACCCCTGAGCTGTGGGACCTTCAGTGGAAACCACCACGGGGGCATTTTTTGGCAAAATGTGCAGCTGCCAAGGGGTTGTAGAACCAGAAGACCAGTTGACTGCAGATGTTAAACTGTGGTCCATCCCCATGTAAGGAGCCAAGGCCTGTTTTGTCCTCTCGCGGCTCTCCAGCGCCCAGGAGGCACTCAGGCTATTTGCGGATTAGATGCTGCTGTCCGAGAGTAAGGGTGCTCCTTACGCGCCAATCTGGCATCTTCCAAGAACTCGTATAGTATTAAAAGATCTATATAAGGTGCTTCCTGTTGCTGGAAAAGGAGGCATGTCTGTCTCCTGTGCCTGGAGCGACACAGCAGGAACTGGCAGCGTTGGGTGGCCCTAGGACGGACCCCAGGCCCGGCGGAAGCAGTCAAGCCCTTCCACCGCCTCCCCCCGCAGCCCCGGGAGTCTCTGCCAGCTGAGGGCCCCTCACAGTCCCTGCGCTTCTGTGTCACTACTTCCTATGTACCATAAGCCCTGGACTCCCTCCCTCCTACAAACCAGAAGTTTCGGTAAAAGTAGAGCAACTATCTCGAACGAAGTCTCATCGGGAGCAGGTAACTGCCTGCTTCAGCCCTCACACACGACCTCACCCTGTGCTAAGAATAAAAGCAGCAGCGCTGCTACTTACCGATGTAGGACAAAGGGATCCGTGTCAAAGTGACCTTCCAGGAGCAAAGACAGCTTTCTATCCTCCAAAAGTATTAAATTCTATTAATTTGGAAAGATCCATAGGACAGGGAGGAAAAATCAGTCATATATGCTGGTGTCAGCTAATACATCTGCTAAACTCAAGATAAAAAACATTTTTCAGGCAAAAAGTCCTTTTTTCACTAATACTCATTCCTCACACTGAAGGCAATGGGAGAGGAACTTATTTCAGATACACTGCTAGACAAGTCATTTTTTATATGCATGAATACCAATGACTAACCAGACAAATCTTTAAAAATACTAAGCAAAGTTAAGACTCGGGGTGCCTGGGTGGCTCAGTCAGTTAAGCATCTGACTCTATTTTTTTTTTAAAAGATTTTATTTATTTATTTGACAGAGACAACGAGAGAGGGAACACAAGCGGGGGGAGAGGGAGAGAGAGAAGCAGGCTTCCCGCGGAGCAGGGAGCCCGACGCGGGCCTCGATCCCAAGACCCTGGGTTAATGACCTGAGCCGAAGGCAGACGCTTAACGACTGAGCCACTCAGGCGCCCCAAGCATCTGACTCTTGATCTTGGCTCAGGTCTTGATCTCAGGATCATGAGTTCAAGTCCTGCACTGGGCTTCGCACCCAGCAGGAGCCTACTTAAAAAAATAAAATATTAAGTAAAGTCAACATAAACAAGCACTTTACAGGCACTGAAAAACTGAAGACTGAGAACAATGTTGGCTTTATAGATTTATTTTCAAAGGAAAAAACAGACAGTTTAAATACAAGTCTAAACAGAATTACTCTGTCAAAGGCAGCAATAATGCCAAAACGCGTTCTCACTTCCAGACACTCGCCAGCATCTTCCGACTCCTCTCTCAGTGAAAAAAGGGGGTCTGGCAAAGACAAAGTTAGTTCAGTGTTTCTTTTTGGTGCACTGACTTTCAATGACTTGAGGTGCTCAATCCAGGGTAATCAAAGTTACAGACACTTAATAGAATGTTTATTAAAAAAAAAAAATCAACCACTTGATCATACTAGAGCCTGAAAAACAACAGCTGTCTACATACAGGCTTCTTTACCATGTGCTGTTAAGTAATTTGCATACACTGAATTTTACCTTCAGGAAAGCCTCAGGGAGGCCCTGTCATTATCCCCATTTTACATCTGAGGAAACAGGCACAGAGGCTAGGCGGCCTGCCCAAGATCACCAGACTTACAGATCCGGACAGAGTGGAGTATAAAGTCTGCTGTCTGACTCCAGAGTCCAGCCTCTTAACCAGGAGGCCTCTCCTGCCTGATTAAGAGGCCATCTCAGCTTCCAGGATAGCAGGCTGGGCTGACTCCGGGTGTGAAACCGAGGGCGGCAGAGGTCTCCGCTTCTGGGTTACCCTGCTCAGTGTTTTGTACAAGACTGCTTTTATGAGGAGGACAATCAAGGAAGTCCTGTCCAAGAATGAATTGTTCACGGCCCGTCTCAAGGATAAAGATGATCACTAAGGCCAGCCCCTCTGAGTGGCAGATAACCAGAGAGGACCTATGTCTTATAACCAGTGAAAATCTGTCAAGCATTTCCCAATGTTTCCATTTCTTCCTGAGTCTTACTTTATTGAAGAACTACAGAGAGGTTAATTCTATGGGAGGACATCATTCTGTAAGTTAAATTATTTACCTGATTTATTCATATACATCCTTCTTATCTGCAATGTAATCTACAATTTCTTGTGGACACATTAACTTCTCCGCATCTGTATCAGGAATTTCAAACCCTAAAAGTAAAATGTACAACGCATGAGTGTAGAAAAACAAATCCTTTAAAATTAAACACATCAAACTTCCTTACCACCCACCACGTACATCAAAATTTTCCAGCAACCCTGAATCCCATTTAAGTTATGGGCCAGTTATGTTCTAGACAAGTTATATTGGTATAACAGCTGATTCTTTTTTTAAAAGCTGTAATTCATAGGATAGAAAATTCACCCATTTAAAGTATAAAATTCAGTGGTTTTTAGTGTATTCACAAGTTGTGCAACCATCACCATCATCTAATTCCAGGACATTTTCATGAACATGTTCCCATCCTACCCCTAACTGATACCATCCCTCTAGTGAGCATAATCTGTGAGGAATTTTAACTATGCTCTGCTCTGTAGGATAGCACAGAAGCCCCTTGGCTTTCATTCAGGCAACCTACCCAAAAACTGAGCCATGGACCCTTAAAAGGTCTCCTGTGCACAAGTGTCTGAGAAACAAGCATAACCTGGGAGTGTGCATGGGAGGCATGGCAGAAAACCAGGTCTGTGTGTGTGTGTGTGTCCCGGGCACACCTAGTTACTTCTCTGGGCATGGCCATTCAGGGTGCTCAGGTGTGCTCAGCTTCTCCACAGGTGAGATTCTGCCTTCACCTTGGAGCCCCACGTAGAGCATCCAAATCCCATCCTCCCCCAGGCTGCTTCTGGTCACTCAGCCCTCGGCACCACACTGGGCCCTCCGCTGGCCCCACACCAAGTGTGTTCTAAGTGAGTGCACCATCCCTAGTATTGACTTCATCTGACAGAAAGCACGTGGGGAGGGGGGGTGCTGTTTCTATTTCTGTATTTGATTCAAATTCCAGTTGTGACCCCCAGCATTTCTTCCACCTAAATCATGAATCACACTGTGCAGACCCCAGACTTAGCCCGTTACCAAATTCGTCCTCCATGGCCATGATAATTTCCACTTGGTCCAAACTGTCTAAGCCCAGGTCTTTCATAAAGTGGGAATTTACCGAGAGCTGCAAGAAAGGAACGCCAGACACAAAACTCAGTCCGTGACAGTTTTTGCTTCTCAAGATAACAGAGAGGTACAATGTCACTTAATCATTACATAGAAGATGCTTAATATAAAGAGGCCATATTTTAAATAAGAAGAGTGATAACCAGCATTTTATGTTTAACCTGTGCCAGCATATACTTAGTGTGCTTTATATGTTAACTTATTCAAGCTTCTTTTGAAAGGATTAACAATATACACAAAGCTAATGATGGATTTCACTTTATATACTTTATTAAGATCTTTGATCACTGCTTGGGAAAACTATCGTGGGGACAGAATGTACAACGTGGTGACCATACTAACGCTACACTGCATATTTGGAAGCTGCTAGGACCGTAATCTTAAAAATCTTCATCATAAGAAAAAAGTTTCTATAATGATGTGTGGTGACGGATGTTAACCAGACTTACCGTGATCAATTCAGTTTTTGGGGGGGTGGGGGAGAGAATCTTATACAGGCTCCATGCCTAGCACAGAGCCGGACACGGGGCTCGATCTCACAACCCTGAGATCATGACCTGAGCTGAAATCAAGAATCGGACACTTAACCGACTGAGACATGCAGGTGCACCCCCCTTTTTTTTCCAGTTCACAATATTATACAAATATCATTATGTTGTACACCTAAAACTAGTGTTATATGTCAATTAGACCTCAATAATAAAAACCTCACTGTCCTACCTACAGAGCAGATTCAATTATTACAGAAGGAATTTGTTTATGCAGCTCTATGAGAAAAATGCCAGTGGTTAAGTTAAAAAAGCAAGGTGCAGAACAGTGTTTGCAGTATTCTACCACTTGTGTGTTTTTAAAAAGGAGAGTGGGGCGCCTCAGTGGCTCAGTCAGTTAAGCATCTGCCTTAGGCTCAGGTCATGATCCCAGGGGTCCTCCCTGCTCTGCAGGGAGTCAGCTTCTCCCTCTGCCCATCCCCCCACCCCGCTTGTGCACACGCACTCTCTCTCAAAATAAATCTTTAAAAATAAGTAAAAGGGTAGGAGATAAAGGTCACACAGTACATAAAATATACGTACATATGTGAATACACTTCCTTGCATATGTATTGAGTATCTCTGGAAAGATAACGCGAGAAGCTGATTCCACTGGCTGCCTCCAAGAAGGGCAACCAGGTGGCTGGGAGTCAGGGAGACTTTTTACTCAGTATCCTTTTAGACCCTCTGCATTCTGTACTGATTAAATACTCATTTAAAGGAAAAACATTAAGCCACATCGATTACCTTCTCTGGGTCAATCTTGTCATAAAGTTTCAAGACATAAAGAACACGGTCCCTGATCCCCTCTAACGTCAGAGGGGGTGCGTCACTGTACTGGCGGCACAACTGTGTCACTGGAACCTAGAACAAGGGCGGGAGAGTGGTTGAACCGAAGACGAATGCTCACTCGCTTACAGACACTCTCCAGAGCTTTTAGTGCTTCCCGAGAACCACCTCCTCTGGTTCTAACTGTAGCCATTAGGCCACCCAGAGTCACAACACTGGGTTATTTTCAGAAGCCCCGGCAGTCCAGCAGCATAAAAAATGGGCCTCCCATCCCCTCAGAGCCAGGACCCCCCCGCCCCGGCTCCTGCATTCAGCACTCCAGCTCTGGCCACTAGTCTGGCTCTGGGAGACAGGCTGCCGCTAAAATCGTGTAGGGTCTGCAGATGAGTGTCTTCTTGTGGCACCTGCTGCAGCGCCTAGCCACTGTCACCTTTAATCGGCACACCTGAGTCAAGATGGCACACCCGGGAAGAGCTGTCATGGTGAACAAAGAGGCAGCTCCCTGGAGGAGCACACACAGGAAGGTCCAATATGGCCACTGACCTCAGCCAGGACAAATGAGCCAGCTACCAGCCCCCACACGAGGGAGCCCGACAGACCTCATAGTCCAATCTGTTTCCCTTCGGGGGAGGCTTGTCTTATTGCCACCAGCCAAACCATGAGCCTTTCTGAGTTTTGCCATGATGGGAGTAATATCTCAAATGTCTGTGATACTAGCCTACTTGATAATCAACTAGGTATTAGGGTGTTGGCTGGATTCTTTCACCAAATATGGAAGGAACTCCAACTTAGAGCTCAGCAGGCTTAATACCATGGAAGGTACAATACAGAACAAGAGGAAACAAAACAGCTGTCTGACAGTTCTGCTCCCTGCAGAAGTCCCTAATCTGAACTGGTTTGTTTACCTTCTAAAGGTGATGTTAAGTCTGGAGTTCTTAAGTTAATTTGGAGTTCTTACAGCATTTCCCCTTAGAAAGTGGGTTTGCAGGGTCCCTTGAGACTGACAGAGGTCTATGAAAACCATAATAAAAAACACTGCCTAATGAACGAAATCTGTATACACCTGTTTAAGAAATACTTATCTTCAAAAAAAAAAAATCAGGTACTGAAATCAGGTTTAATCAGCAAGCTATAGAGAGATTAGATGAAGAGCTTTATGGATATTCTAAAGGATTTCTAAGTGCTTTCGGAGTTTAAGAGCACTGGTTCTTTTCTGTCTCTATGTGTATAGCGTCCTTTCATTTCCGACTGCAGCATGGGTTAAGGAGACCTCCGCTATGGGAACATCTCCAGGCCTACTTATCCACAATCACTAGAAGTCTCCAAGCCCCAAGTAAAATGAAACAGCAGAAGGCAAAGAGACAGAGGGAGGAACAATGAGTTAAGTGGTGATGACAGGAAAGAAGTTTGAGTGGGAAGGATCTAACAGAGGCCTTGTCTGTGTGCACATCAAGAAGTGGTATGAGGGGGGATTACTGCTGAGGAGAAAGAGAAAACAGGACCTTCGCTGCAGAGCCCACGAGGAAGGATGAGGCTGGGGAGGGCACATGGGACACAACTACCCAAGTGGCCCACTAGGGGTCAGCACCATCCCCAGCCACACCAGCAGGTGCCCAAACTTGGGCCAGTGGGCACAACGTGGAGAAATTAAAGGGGTCTCCACGTGGAGAGCACAGGCCAGTCCGAAGTGGGGGGCTCCAGTGGGCTCAGCACGGGGCAGGCAGGTCTAGTGGGTGACAGCTCCGACTCTGGAATAAGGCCGCCTACATCTGTGCCCTGGCACTAGCTTTCTTACTAGCTGTGTGGCCTCGGGCAAGTTACTTAACCCTCCAGTGTCACAGTTTCCATATCTGTAAAATGGGGATAAGCAACAGGACAAAGCTCACAGCACCGCTGTGAGGCGTCACTGAGGGAATGTGAAGGACTCTGAACACGGCCAGGCACATCCACAGTGAGGGCTGCTGAGGGCTGTCTAGGAGGATCGGGCTCTGAGACTCTGGCGGTAGTGTGGCCCCAAGGTACTTGATCCCACTCCTTCCCTCTCAAGCCTCTCCTCCTGGTCTCCTTGCACACTTCTTATCATCAGACTATGGCGCGGCACTGGGCACTTTACAAACCATCACCTCCTTTAGTTCTGACATCAGTCCCATTTTACAGACAGGAAACAGGAGACAGAGAAAGGTATCCCGCCCCAGGCCTCCCAGCGTGGCCTCTGGGGAGGGCCTTACTGCCTCCTTCCTGCTGGATCTCAGCTGTTTAAAAAAAAAAGAGGAGGCACGGAAAACAGGCAAGCAGCTCAGCAGCGTCCCCGACAGTCAACAATGTTTCTGGTGGTGTTTTTCCCCAAGATCTACACTTAACAATTCTATGTGACACAAGTCACTTCCCACAGCCATCAGAGAAGGCACTGTGTGCAGAAGAATGACTACCCACTAGACTAGTAGAAACCAATAGCCTGGTTCCTCCATCGAAATGCATCTGTATCCACTCAGGTACATCTCTGACTAAGGGAAACTGAGGAACCTCAGTTTAAAGCTCAGGAGGCAGCTTTTTTTTTTTTTTTTTTAAAGATTTTATTTGAGAGCGAGCGAGAGAGAGCGGGGCTTTGAGCGGGGCTTTATGCGGAGCTTGATCCCAGGGCCCCCTGAGCCGAAGCTTAACCAACTGAGCCACCCAAGCGCCCCCAGGAGGCAGCTTTAAAGGCCAGCTCTACCAGGTGCCCCTGGACGGCTCCACTCTGGTAGCCGACATCCCGGTGTCAGTTTGGAAATAAATTCCTTACCTGTCTTCCAAAACGCCTGCCTGTAGACCTCTATTCCTTGTCGGCCACCTGGCGCTCTGGCCAGACACCTGAGAGCCTACCCCCACTCTTCCCACTGTCTCACCATCCGTGTTTACTGGGCCACCCAGCCTGGCTGATTGGGAAGAAAGATCTCACCTATTCAACCAACCTTGTTGCATGTTCACTCCCTGCAACCTAAACAGAACATACACATTCCTCAGCACCCTTCACAACATGCCTACGTCTTTATCTCAACTCAGGTCTCTCCATTCCACAGGCACCCTGAGGATCAACCGTTAAGAGTGCCGGGCTCTCCTGGCCTCTGCACATGCTGTCACACCCTGCCCTTTGAGACCGTGCTCACCGGGGGCACTGGTTAGGTCCCTCCTCTGTGCTGTGCACACACCTGTCCTCACGTGTGGCTATGTCTTGTCTTCATACACAGGACTGTCTCAGCAGCCTATGAGCTCTACCTCCTGTACCGAGCACTGTGCTGTGGGTTGGAACTACAAAGATAAATAAAACATGACCGCTACCCTCAGAGAAGCTTATGGTCTAATGGAAAAGATCGAGCCAAATAGATTATTTAAGTTGTAATAAAAATGTGGCGAGAGAGGTGCCTGGGTGGCTCAGTGGGTTAAGCGTCTGCCTTTGCCTCGGGCCATGATCCCAGGGTCCTGCGATCAAGCCTCATGGCCGGCTCCCTGCTCAGCAGGGAGTCTGCTTCTCCATCTCCCTTTACCCCTCCCCCCGCTCATGTCTCTCTCAAATAAATAAATAAAATCTTAAAAAAAAAAAAAATGTGGCAAGAGCTACGACAGACGTATTTGTAAGCTGCTTCCTGAACAAGAGCTGTCATTCAGTCCTTGACAAGCAAGGAAGAAAGAGATACCAAACTTGGAGTTAGCCCTGGAAGGACAAGGACATCCAAGGAGGGAAGGCCAGGCCAAGAAAATGAGGCATGGGAGTGTAGTGGGTCTGTGTGGGAAGAAATGACTTCATGTTGCTGGAGACTGAAGGTTAAGGTGGGACACAGGCTCTGAGGCTCAAGAGGCAGGGCCCAGGGCTGCAGACACCTGAAAAAGACAAAACAGCTGAGCACTCCCTGCACAAGCGTTATGCCTTCATCTGGGTGCCGTGCCCCACAGCACTCTTCGGAAGTCTTCTTTGTGCTCTGGCTTTGAGACAGTTCAGATATGGGGGCCTGCTTGGGTCAAGTACAAGACTTCCAGGTTACATTCTAGGCCACTACCCTTGTTTTTCTTACCTTCTGTTTTATACTGTCTCATATTTTTATATCCAGGAGAACTGCTTTAGCTCCTTTTGGGAGGGTAAAGAGTTGGAATATAAATGAAGAACTAGTTGCCCTGGAGTCAGCAAAGTGGATGGATCTGAGGAGAAAAAATCTAATGGAACAGAATGGGTGGAGTGAGCAATAGTCCCAATGAAATGAGCAAGGGCTGGAGGTGGAAGTTTGGGGTAACTGGGAAACAGGCAATAGCAGAAACCAAGAGAGTGAAGACACAGACAAGAAAGAGAGTGTGGTAAGAGATCTTTGGAACTTACCAACATTTAAGGATTAGACAAAGTGCAAGAGGGTAGGAGCAGAGAGGTAGAGGGAAAGAACGAACCAAGACAGTGTAGAACGGCCTCGGGAACACAGCAGCAGGGAATGAGCTGGCACGTTTAACATGAGGCTGCAGCATCCAATGAGATACTAACTAGTGTCTTTCTTTTCTATGTATCTCTAAACCCTTCACCTAGAATAAGGTCTGGGAGCCCACTGGAAATGAAGCCTCTTGGGCCCCTTCCCAGAATCTGTATTTTAACCCAAGGGATCTATAACAATCAAGTCTGAGAATCAGTGCTCTATGAGTAAGGACAATCACTTTGCATTTTAGCTTAATGTGGAAATCAGTCTCAGGAAAAAAACACTTGGCAACTCAATATAATGCCCTCTTAACTTCAGGGTGACACTGTTAACCTTTTGATTCAGGCAATGGGGCTAGTGCCCTATGAATTAATCCATTGCATTGTCAGTAAATCTCAACCCTAGCCACACAAAATAATCACTTGGTGAGTTCTAAAAACAGACACACAGACACCCAGACACCCCAGCTCTAGAGACAATGACTAATTTGACCTGGGCATCCTTATGTTTTATTCTAAATGTAGTCAATACCGAAATACTGAAACCACTATTAAGTTCATAGGTTTGGGGGGGGGGTCCTCAACTTGGCCTTGAGAGTCTATTCTACATTAAGGCAGTAGTTCTTGATCTTGGCCAAACCCTTTAATCATCTGGGGAACTTAAATGAAAACCCATGCCAGGGCCTCACTCAGAGAAGTAAATCAAAAGGGGGGTTGGGCAAGGGATTTTTCCCCCTCTTTTAAGCTGCTCAGGTGATTTGAATGTGCAACTAGGGTTGAAAACCACTGCCCAAACCAAAATTTCTGCCTCACAAAGGTTTCCTCGGACAGAAAGGCTAGATTCTACTTTCTTCCTATCTTTACTTCCAGGAGGCCTGTAAACAGGCAGAAGGGACTAGGGAGAAATCCTGGACGCAGACTGGTCTGGAGAAGGTTGTAGGCCAGTGTGGCTTCTCTTTTGTACTCTGTCATCAGTTTTCCCCTAGAAAGCTATCACAACATTTGTCACTATCACCACGACTAACGGAGAGTTTACCAAGCACCCCAACTAGGTGCTCTCAAAACCTTGTTGCACCTCCACGAAGTAGAGCCTAGTACCCCAACTTTGCCGTTCAGACCGACAGTACTGAGGTCACGAGACTGGCCCAAAGTTTCGGAAAGTGGCAGCCAGCATTCGAACCCAGGGGTGTTTGACTGGCAGGTGTGCGCCCCGGCTCGTTAGCACTAGGTCATCTGGGCTCCCAGCAGGGGTCAACCAGGCACCGTGAGGGAGTGGGATGGGCGGAGAGCCAGATGTCTACCGGTCACCCCAGCCGCGGCTGGCGTGGCCCCGCTGCCTGGCCCCTCCCCCCTACCCCGATCCCTGACCCCTGCCAAGCCCCAGCAAAGTCACCGCGAGTCACCTGCGCGAGCACCGAGGCTGGCTGCGGAGCCCCAGGCCTCGTCCGGGCCCCCGCGGGGCACAGGGTGATGCTGAGCGGCCGGGCCGCGGCCAACGTGGGAAGCCGTGGCAGCGGCGCGAAGGCCGCGGGCAGTCGGCGGACACAAGCGGAAAGGACACGAGACGCCATGGCTACGCCGACCCAGGATGCACTGCGCCGCGCCCTCCGGCCCAGTTTCCTCTCCGAGGGGCGCAGGGGACGCACAGAGCGGCACAGCCGGACGCTGCTAGCGGTAGCGGCCCCTAGCGGCTCCTGGCGGCACTGCTCCCTCCGGGCGCGCGGTCCAGCCGTCCAGGGCGAGAGGCAAAAGGCTGCTAGCGGGGGTGCCTGGGTGGCTCAGTTGGTTAAGCTACTGCCTTCGGCTCAGGTCATGATCCTGGAGTCCTGGGATGGAGTCCCGGGATGGTGTCCCGGGATCGAGTCCCGGGATGGAGTCCCGCATTGGGCTCCCTGCTCGGCAGGGAGTCTGCTTCTCCCTCTGACCCTCCTCCCTCTCATGCTGTCTCTCATTCTCTCTCTCTCAAACTTTAAAAAAAAAAAAAAAGGCTGCTAGCGTCGGAACCTCGTTCCTCTGGTCTTTCCCTAAATACTAATCACTGGCACAAAAAGGAACTTGTTTTGATTTATTCTCTGAACGTTCTTTTTTAAAAAAATTTATTTATTTGACACAGAGAGACACAGCGAGAGAGGGAACACAAGCAGGGGGATGACCTGAGCCAAAGGCAGACGCCTAATGACTGAGCCACCCAGGCGCCCCTGAATGTTCGGACATACATTTGTTTAGAAGTTTTGACGCCGCTATTATTCCACAGGTATTAAAATTATGTAAGGGTCGCCTGGCTGGCTCAGTCAGAAGGCCCTGCGACTCTCGGATCTCCGGGTAATGAGTTCAAGCCCCATGGTGGGAGTAATGATTACTAAAAAACCATAAATAAATAAATAAACTTTAAAAAATAAGTAAATAAAAATAAAATAGACTGCATAGTACCCTCCCACTGTTGTAAAATTATTTCTATTTACACATTCATTAAGAAATTGAGTATCTGTTATGTGCTAGTTGTTATGTTATGTGCCAGTTGCTACAGCAGTGGGCAAGCCAGGCGGTCTATTCTCATAGAGTTTACATTCTAGTGGGAAGACAGAAAATAAACAAATAAAAATAAACACCTCCCCTAAGACAAAAAATCAGGGAAGTAGTGATAAGTACAATGAAGAACAGTAAAGTAGGGAGGCGGATAGTGAGGGAGTACAGCAGGTGTGTTATTTTAGATAGGGTGTCCCCGAAGTCCTCTTTTAGGAGGTGATATCTGAGCTGAGATTTTCATCAATCTGGGGGAGGGAATACAGAGCCTCAGGAATCACCCTGCTGCTGGTGATGCCCACCAGTGTCCATGGCAGTGCAAAGAGTTGACACCAGGCTTCTCTAGCATCCTGATTCCATCACCATCACTTTCCTGCTTATTAATCAATTGGAAGCATAATTGTATCCCCTCTTTGGGAATGGTCAGTAAATAAATGGCCCAGCTCCATTTTGGGTGGCAGCCTTCTATTTCTGCAGAAAACCAGCACCAAAAGATCTGATTGGAATCCGAGGATCAGGGCCCATTCATTCTGCTTAAGCCACCAGTGATACACCAGCCTCTGCTTGCTCCTTCCTGGTCACACTCCAGGCCAGACCCATGGGACAGACATGTGATGTGACCATGCAGCATTAACAGCAGAGAGAGCACGCAAAAAGAGCCTGATCGACTACTAAGTCCCAAACTGGAACCCTCTCTTCCCACAACCGATCTGTATTTCTGTTACATTGAATTCTTTTGGTCAAAAATAATAAATCCCCTCTTATTTAAATGACATTCTTTGTTCCCCAGGGTCTTTGACCCACGCTTGACTTTAAAAACCCAAGTTTCAGAATTGTTGCACTCCAGAGGCTTCCAATCCCACCTGCATCCAGCCCTGGCCTCGTCTCTGGGGTTCAGAGTCCTTTATCCAACTGTCGATTACCAGATGATCCGTAAGCATTCAAATGAGCTGTCTTCCCCCTTGTGTGTTCTGTTTCAGCTGCTGACACCATCACCCACTACGCCAGAAATTTAAGACTCCTTCCTCTCCTACCTAAATCATGCATTCACTTAGCCCTGCTCATTTCTTTTCCTTCCTAAATCTCTCTCCAGTTCAGGTCTTTCATTGCAGTCCCTGCTGCAGAGGAGGCCCTTCTGGTCATCTTCATGCCTCCACTCTTGTCTGCTAGAAATCCACTATTCACTGTATTGCTAGAGTGGGAGCTTATCACTGAAAGTCAAACCCTTCAGCAGTCCCTACATGTGCAGAATAAAGTCCAGGTTTGTTAACAGGCGTCACCAGCTCCCTGGCTACCTTTCCTGCTTCGTCACTCCATTCCCCACAGCATGATCCATTCTCTTGAAATAGTGAGTTGTTTGTAGTTCATGCTATACTATCCTTTCTGCCTGGAATATCCTTTGCTTCTGCTCTGACCTACTGACCCTGCAAGACTAGGCTAGTTGTCATCCTCCATGGAGTTTTCTGGAACTCCCCCATGTTGTGCTAACTGCCCATCATTTGAGCACTCTGAATATACCATCCAAATTTAAAACACAGTATTTAATTTATTGCTTTGTGTCATGGTCTCCCTCACTAGACTGTGTACTTCTTTTTTTTAAAGATTTATTTATTTGAGAGAGAGAGAGCACACAGAGGGAGGGGCAGAGGGAGAAGCAGACTCCCTGCTGAGGAGGGAGCCCAACGTAGGGCTTGATCCCACTACCCTGGGATCATGACCTGAGCCGAAGGCAGACACTTAACGATTGAGCCACCCAGGTGCTAGACTGCGTACTTCTGAAGGGCTGAGCCTCATGGCAATCATTTTCATACCTACTATTTCAAGTATGTGCTCAGTGTTTGTTCAACCGTTACTGAACTAGAATTACTGCTTACCTCTACTGTTTTCTTAACTCTTAAATATTATAGATGAGGGGCGCCTGGGTGGCACAGTTGGGCGGCTGCCTTCAGCTCAGGTCATGATCCTCGAGTCCCAGGATCAGCGGGGTTCTGCTTCTCCCTCTGACCCTCCTCCCTCTCATGCTGTCTCTCAAATAAATAAATAAATAAAGTCTTTAAAAAAAACAATCTTATAGATGATGTATTTCTCAGGATCCCGGGTAAATGAAATCTTTGTGAAAAGCTCTCTATTATCTATGATGTGCTAACAAATAAAAGTATCTCATTTACGCTAGAGATAATGGGAACAGAACAAGTGTAAGAGAGAAAGCTCAATCTTTTATGCACATGTATCAAAGGGAAATAATGAAGTTAGCAAAACCCACGCTAGTGAACATTGTAAAAGAGAAGTAACAGAGGGGCGCCTGGGTGTCTCAGTCATTAAGCATCTGCCTTCGGCTCAGACCATGATCCCAGGGTCCTGGGATTGAGCCCCACATTGGGCTCCCTGCTTGGCGGGAAGCCTGCTTCTCCCTCTCCCACTCCCTCTGCTTGTGTTCCCTCTCTTGCTGTGTCTCTCTCTGTCAAATAAATAAGTAAAATCTTAAAAAAAAAAATAGCATAAAAAGTATATTGCATGTTAGTATCCTAAGTTAACTGAAATTTACTTATTATGCAAGTTACAATATTCTAGTTGTAAAATAACTAGTTGTTCTGAAAATGACCATATAAAAGGATAGGAAAAAATAAGCCAAGTAAAATGTATCAAAATAAATATTTATTCATATCTGAAGCTTTATGTACACCTTTAAAAGCAAATGTGCAGACGTGAGGAATTACAAAAATCAACCTAAAATCCTTTCTCCCAAAGTAAGTCTAAATGAACATTCAAGATCAGTGGTGCCACTACCATCAGAATAAAAAATGTGTCTGAATGAATACAAGTAATTATTTTAAATGTCACCCAGATATTCTTTACAGTTACAACTCTAAAAAGTACTAACTGGTCAAAAAATCCAGAACACTGTGTTTTCATCTTATTAGCAGCGGTATACAAATATATTTCCATCTTTTTGTCCAGCCAGCAAATGAGAATCTGTACCTGACCATTTAACAAAAGACCAATGCTGGTCAGAGACAGGTGGGAGGAGAGCAGTACAATGACCTAGAAGTAAGTCCCAAATGGCAATCGTTCCAGAAGTTAGTACTGCAACCGCAAAATGATCTTTCACGTCTCCTTCCAGGAACCTAATTATCAAGCAGAGAAGAAACCACTGAAATCACATATTGAAAGAATTTTTTTTTCGTTAAGCCAAAATCATGCTCCCCAAAGCAACCATAGGAACAAAAATACCTATAAATATGATGCCTATTATTTGCCACCCCAGGACTCTTCAAACTGGCCAAACTCAGTCCACCTCAGCATCTTTGCTCTTGCTCTGCCCTCTCTTTAGCAGATGCTAGCTTAGCATGCCTGGGATTTTGTCATCTTTCAGGCCTGTCACCTCTGTAGAAAGGTCAGACCCAATCTCCCGTCTACAGAAGTGTACACATGTACTCTGTTCCCCATCGCATTACCTGTTTTCTTTTCACTTGTGAGATTATCCTATTTCCATATTTGGTGGGTCTCTCTCCTACCAAATGTAAACATCACAAAGCAGAAACCTGGTTGTCTTTTTAAGACAGGGGCTCTGCAGTCAGCAGCCTGAGTTTGAATTCTAACAAAGCAAGAGCTGTGTGACCCTGAGCAAGTTCTTCAACTTCATCAGTGAAAAGGGCATATGATAGGAGTTGATATAAAAAGCTCAGCACAATACCTAATACATCGGAAGTGCTTAATATAAATTAGTTGTTATTCCTCACTGCTATACCCCCAGCAGAGGGGGTTAATCACGAGGGCTTGGGCCCAGCAGAGGGCCTGGGACATGGTCAACCCTCAGGGAATATTCTGAGTGACCTGAAAGATATTTTTTATCCTGGGCTCCCACCCAACTTTGTGTGGCTGACTCCTAACCCATCTTTTGGAACTCCATAAAGTCGTCCCTGACAGTCTGCCCCAGCCCTCCACTGTCAGTTAGGTACCCCTCCATCCTTTGTGCTCGCAAACACTGCAAGCCTCATGGCATTTTGCACACTGAGCAATAATCTCTAGTTTTCTCCTATTTCTACGAGATGAGAAGCAGTAGTGCCCTCTACTATCTACTATCGG